ACCAAACAGCCAACTGATAATAAAAGTACTTCTTCCCACCTACCCACCAAGAAAGTAATAAACTGTTAAAGCAAAACATATTTCTGAAAGCCACTCATATATACTAGGTTGCTGATTGAAGCAAAACTCTGAAAAGTCAAATAGTGCCCTTGTGTTCACTGACTTGTATTTTTTATTTGTATAGTAAACTTCAGTGCTTATTGTGGACAGTTTCAGTTATGCACCCAATCTCTGCTTCAAATTCTGCATCTTCATTGTTTTCAAGATATTTGTCTTCAGTTCTCAAGACCATTAAACTTCTTTTTCAATTGTGAATTTCTCTGAAGAAAAGCCTCAGTTTCATTAAACACTGTGATGTTGTCTGGACATTAATGTAAGAAATATGCCCTGACAGAATTGTTTAGTCATTTCAAGGAAAATTTCCCCAGTGGCCACATCGGTGGCTCCCTGGCAAGTTCAGTAGTAGTTCCCACAGGGTCATCGTGTTTACATCGAAGTAATTTAGAACAGAGAAGCAGGCACTCATAAAATTGGTATGCTCATAGATAATATATGTAGTATGAGTCCTGGATGCTGCTTAATTTTAAGGATCTTGGGTGCTTTGAGTCAACTTCTTAGAGTTTCGCTACTTCTGGGCTCTTTGCTTCCTCAGTCACCTAAGTAAGCTGCATTAAGGTTAAATTGTGTAAACTGGTACCCTTTTCTCCCCTCCTGACTTTTTTTTTTAAGAGTACAGATTAGAGGTAAATATTTCAACATCAAAACATTAGTGTGTTTTACAAAGGCCAAGACTTACTTCAGCTAAACACTGGTGTGACACCCACTACCGTGCATGCAACCTAGGAAACCTGCTTGTGGACCAAGCCTGCTCTAAGCTTGCCGTACAACAGGAGAAAACAAACCAAACCTTCTGTGCTTTGCCACCAGGGTAAGCTACGGAGAGAAAATCTGTTGAAAGCTGGCACATGTAGTGAACTGTCTATTGAACAGGTTTGTTTGATTTTTTTTTTTCCATTGAGTAATTTACAACAAAAGGAACTCTGTTTAACCTTTTCTGATTCACAACAGGAAAATAGCTTCATTGTGTTGAAGGTGTGGTGATAGCCTTTTATTGTTCCTCATTAGTCTGGACTGAGTATCAAAAGATACTATTTTGCTTCAGTTAAGTAGATAGTTCATACAAACAAAGCTACCTGTTGGAAAAAAAAATTAGGGAATTGAGGCAAAATGCATTAATATCTTGAAAACAATATCTGTATGTTCCCCTGGTGCAGTGCAAGTGCAATGTTGCGTTTGGCTAAAGCTGATTGAAGTGTGTGCTGCTGCTCAAAGGGATGTCCCTGCCTTCTTCCTCCTCTCCTCAGCCCTGTTTCAGCAGCCTCATGGTGCAGGGAGCAGAGTCCACTGCTGACCCCTGGCTGTTCTAGTAGGTTTGGTTTTTTGGTGTGTCATCCTGCCATCGAAGAATGAGTTTTAGCTGTATCCGTGATCTGATCTGACTCATTGCTTGGCCGCATGCTAGCGTTGACACAGAAGTTGTCACAGGAAACATCCAGGCAAGGATTGGGAAAGGTGTGGGGAGGGCAGGGGTAGAACCCTCCTCTTCAGTGGCAGCCTCCTGCTAGGGCCATGCCAGTTTCAATCTTGCCAGAATAGTTTCCATGATGGGCTGCGAGGATTCACAGTTTACTAACCTGAGCTTGCTACTCAGCTAAGTGTTAATAATGTCCAAAAGGACCATCCAACCTTTTCAGCTGTAGAAAACTCTGCCTTCTTTGCCCCTCTGCAAGCCACAGACTCGGTTCTTGGCGATCCATGCCTGGCCATGCACACACCAAGACACCTGGACATGACATTGCAGTCTCCCAGAAGCAGGCTGACTGCCAGCATGAGGAGAAACGAGTGTGGGTTGACATTGCTGCACGTTCTTGTTGCAGTGTGAGGAGAAGGAAAAGGGCTGGGCAGAATTGCTGACAGACCAGCTCTTTCCCATGGCTGACAGTGCCCATAATGCCTGACCGTACCTCTCCATGGGACAGTGCATGGATGAAGAAGGAAAAGCTGACGACATAGATATTGCAGTGCTGGATGTGAGACACTCTACAGACTGAGAACAATGCTCTGTGGTGATGCAGCTGCTTTCCTGGCACGTGATCCCGGAAAGCAGATCTGTCAGCAATGGGGACCTCACAGCTCTTTTAGCCCAACCCGATATAACTGTCTGTCATTAACATGACAAGGACAATTGGCATATTTCCATCCTAAATTAAATTAGCAAGCTTAAGACCTCAACTACAAAGGTTGTTATCTTTGAAATAGGCTTGCTGCCAACTATGCAAGTAAGAAAACAGATATTATGTTATTCTTACAGATATTACAGACATTTTTATTGACTTTATAGATATTACAGATATTCTGAAGAAAACAGGTATTTTCAGATATGGAAAAGGAATTTGGCAAAGCAGATAGCTAGGGTAAGTTTTAATAATATACACGCAAATAGTTATTGGTGCAAGAATAGTGTCCTGGCTCCCTAGTCTTTGAAAGCCAGCCCTTGATATTACAGTTTGAAAGTGTGATTCTTCCTTCTTTTCCTGCTTCCCTTCCCAAATGATTCATCCTTTGCTTGGTGATAAAGCAGAGATAAGCTTTAAAAACAGGTCTTCCACCATCTGCTCACTGAGATACCAAACGGAAAGATACTGCCATGTTCTCTGCTCTCTGAGCTTGACATAGACTTTTTTGAGGGAGGGGAAAAAAATAATACAGGCACCTTCCTCTAGAAAGGAGTTCAGGGTTGAGTGTTTTTTCCTAGGGGAAGAATGTTATTAAATCCAAGCAGCTGGGGTGGGGAGAGATCTAAGTGGAACCGTTTTTTTTTCTGATTAGCCTGAACAACTCTCTGATGAGTCTGAGACTCTTTAGACATTTGAACCTTACAGTGCGAGTATGTCAAACCCAGAGGGATGGACTTCTGAAATCCTCCTAGGAGTGACCCTCCTGATACTGCTCTGCTGAAATTTCTTTTGTGGGCTTTACCCTCTCTCCAAAAGTTGAGTTTACCACATAATGCTGCTAAGTTTTCATGATTAGCGAATGTGTGATCAATTGGAAAGCAGAGGCTAAAAGCACAGGATAAGTGCACTGTGCTGGGAGTCAGAGAGTAGGAGAGATGACAAAACAAATATATGGATCATTTTAAGGAAAAAAAAAGGTGAAGCCATCTTAAATCTAGGCAGTCAGAAAAACTAGATTAGTATTCAATTTTTAAGACTATTTTCATAACTTACAAGGAATGAAACCCTGAAACATAAATTCATACCAAGATTTTTTCCTTTGTCTCCGGAAATTTGGTAATAGACCTTACTTTCCATCGTCGAAGTCAGAACTAGAGACAAATTAGAACAAATTTATTCAAAAAACTGGAGGACAGATGACAGAATATGTATTTGAGGTAAACAGTGCTTGCACAGTTGTAACTTCAACCATATAAAGACTATCCTCTTCCCATGTACATGAAATAAGTGTGAATAAGTTTATTCTTATTTCTTTTATCTCTATTAATGCAGTTAAATGATTGATTTAGGGGCATAGTTATGTTAGACTTATGGCTATTGTAATTTGTGCCTGAAAACAGTACTACAAAGTCTGAAGTCATAGTTCCGAATCAGGATGTACATGTTGTTTATATGCAATGAAAGTAAACATTCTGCTACTATAAAACATAGGTTTTTAAAGAAGTTTGAATAGTCTCTTTTGCAAATTCAAAGAAATTGAAATTTAAAGTCTACTTTGAATTTCCGGAAGACCAGACATTTACCAGATGTCACTTTTTATTGCATCTGGGGAGCTGAAATTCTGGCAGCTGCTACAGAAGCTGCTCGGGGCACTGTATATATGGTTTTCCAAGGGCTATCAGATTTCCCACTGTCTTTGTAGGCCAGCGCTAACTGCACTTTCAAGTTGCTTTTTTTGCTTACATTTTGTTGTCTCAGTGAAGGAAGTGCTTGGTTGCTAAGAGGAAAGGAAATGTAACTATCCAGTAAGAGCTGTGGTACCATTGTGACAGAGGAGAAAAGCAACATTTGATTCAGTTATTTTTATTATCTTAAAAGCCAAGTGGCATTAAAGATATTCCTTACCTACACCATGAAAACAGAGCCTAAAGTTACATCAAATGTAATTATTTGATAGAAGTCCATGTAAATCTATCCTGTCTGTGTAATCCTCAAAACAGCAAAGCTTTTTCTAAAACTGTTCTTGTTATTGACTTTCAGGATAGCTAGTCAGTTATTCCTTTTTTTTAAGCATTAGTTTAAAGTATTCCTTTTTTTTTAAGCATTAGTTTAGCCTGGAGGTTAAGCAAAGCCCAGGACTTAGGCTCTGTTCTTATTAAAATAACAGTTTTGGTAATAATAAGAACAGAAGTATGGCCCACAGGCCAATGTCTGTCTGACTCTACATCCTGTGACTGCCCCTTGTCTGTAGTCTACCCTTAGTAACGACTGCAATGCCAGAAAACCCTGCAGTGGTACCTACCCCAGCGTAATCCTCCAGCTTTCAGCAACCTGCATCTTGGTGACTTCTCAAACCACAGGTTGCATCGGTGCATTTAACCTCTCCCCTCCGCTCCCTCACAGCTAGGAGTCAGATTCAGGACAACATGCAGGTAAACCAGTTACTATATCGTGACACAACGATCCTTGTGGCTCAGGCTACTCTGCCTTCCCAGGTCTAGCAACCTCACCTGAGATTTTTGGGGTTGATTGGTTGTGGTTTTTTCAGAGTGCTTCTTCAAATCTATCTGTTGCTTTTTTCAACATCAGTGTTAAGTGAGACCAAAAAGTTACTTTCATAGTCAAATAACAGATCCTATCTTCAGTTGGATTGGATGGACAGCTAATCTCAGAGGTATGGAAGTTCTTATGTTCCTAATAATGTTTTTTTTTCTTTATTCTTCTCCCTCCAACTTCTCCTCTGTCCTAATGGTATTCCTGCAGATGAAGACATTAATTCTAAACATAGAAATGCAAGTAAAATACACATATGCAGTCTTCAGCAAGAGGGTGAGGAGAGGGACTTGCACTGAGAACTTTGGGAATTCTTTTTCAGATATCTGTGCATCAGGTAAGGCTAAATTAAAAAGAAATAAATATTTTATCATTTGTGATTACTACCTTTTAAATGTTACTGAGAATACACTCTCTTTGCCTCTGCTCTCAGGAAGAACTGGCAGGGCCTCAACAGCATGCTGTGAAGCTACTATAGCAGAGTCCTTAGGGACAATCACCACATGGAGAGAGGAGAAAGTGAAGGACATTGAGTGTGACGATCCCCTTTCTCCGACATCTGCCTCTGTGCATTATCACTATTTGCAGTTCTCTCCATCTCTTTTCATCACTGCTATAACTTCTTTCCCTTCAAAACTTACCCAGAAATAAAATTTCCTTTCTTCTCATCAGGCAAAATCTGAGACGAGTATTTGTTGAGGTTGCTGTCTCAGTCAGAGAGGCTGAAAACTGCTGATGGTGTGGATTCCTAAAACAGTTGTGCAGAGGATTGAGGGAGACTAGCCAGGCCGTGGAAATATTTTCCTATCCTCCAGCTGTGTCTGTCTTCCTAATTCTCCTGTAAATATAAAAAAAGGCACTTTCAGGACCATGCTGAGGAAGAAAGGATGTTCACCTTCTGTGCTCTCCACTTCTTCCAGTGAAACCACAGTGGTCACTGTGGCAGCCACCTTGCCAGAGCAGTGTGAAGATTTATGGATAAAGTCTCTTATTCTTGCTGGGAGTTGTGTTCTCTCATTACTGCTGGAAGGTGGAGTTGAGGAGTAGTCATTGCTGTGTCCCGGGAATGGCTGCAAAGTGAGCTAATGCTTCCCTTCTCACCCTTCCACATCTGTGGCACTTCTTATGCCAGAAGCAAGAAGTACAGCATAATTACGGATGTTGCAAAAACATTCATGTGCTAAGGCCCTATGTTCTCAACGATGTTTTTCCCTTTCCTCACTGTTTTGTTACAATCCCCATTCCTGTTTGATTGCCTGTGAAAGGGATATACAGGGCGAAACTCAGCAGAATATTCATAGTCACTAAAACAGTCTCTGACCAACCTGGCTGAGCTGATAAAGCTTAACGCTGATTTGCAAGTTTTCCTCATTTCTGCGTAGACTTGCCACCTACTAAAAAAGCTGAAGGCTTCACAAAGCAGTTCTTGCTTGAGGAGGCAGAGATTCTCTTGAGTTACATTAAGAGAACTTGTGATGGAGAAAAAGTCCTGGACTTTTACCACCCCATCAGCTTCTGGAAAGTTTGGAACACTTCAGCCTGGAGCTCTCTCACCAGCCAGAGCACTTGGAACAAATACTTGCTGATTACAGAGACACCTTAAAATATGGAGTTAAAACAGGTAAAGTAGCAAAACCATACATGCCTCATTGTTACATCACTTCATGGATGCATGAAATAGTGATTCATGGATTGGACCAGATTTGTATGAAAATCTGTGTTTTATCAAATGTGTGATATATATTTTGTGGCAATTCGGTATTTCCAGTAATGTTCATAGTGCTCTGAAAAGGTTTTGTTATTGATGACATTTGGTGGGAAGAAATGTACTATTCTGGACCAGTTAACAGATCAGAAGAGTTATCTATGCTGTCTCATTCAGGGGTCTGCACAGTCAGTGGAAAAAAAAAAATAGGCTCCTAAATTGGGTACTCCAAGTATTACTTCCCTACTTGGATACTAAAGTTTGATAAGTGCCCATAAATGCAGGAGGAAAACTCCCCCCTTACTTTCTCATTAATGATAATGTTATTTGAAACGATAATGCTTTTACAGGATTGGATTGGGTTTTGCATAGTTTCATTTTCCCCCTCTTCATTAAGGAGTTGTTTGACTTGCTTGGCTGGCTTCCCACATCCATTTCTTTATATCTTCAGCTAACTTGTTCGCTGTGTTTACAGAGGCATTAAGTAGAGCACAGTCCTTAACTCAGTTCGGTCCAGGAAGTAGCAGAAAGACGTAAAGCCATTTGATTTTGTTCAGATATTCAAGGACATATGGAGTTCTAGCTCTAAAGAAAATAGGATGCTTCTGAACATCTGTCAAAATGAATAATTTCAGCAAACATTTATGTGTCATCCTGATGCACATATTAAATTTAGTTGATTAATTTAATTTTAATTTTTTTAATGGTGCCTAATGCTTTACAACCTGCATTATATCCTTGTCTCTGGGATGTCTGTCTTTCCCAATATTTACCATGAAACATGCTCTTTCTCCTGTCCCATATTGATTTCCATATCCTTTTAACTAATCACTTCACAAAAGATGATACAGACTGTGCTGAGAAAACTATTTATTACATAGGGTCTAGTTTACTCGCTTATCATTTCAGGACATCGTTGCTACTTCAATCAACTTTCTAGTGGCCTTGACATTATTGGTGTAACTGGGGAACGACTCACAGTTGCAGCAAATACTAACATGTATGTACTGTAAATACCAGTCTTTTGTAGCAAGTGAAATTATAGCAATTACTCCTATATCTTGACATTTTTTTAGTGCAGATAAAAACCCAAGGTGTGGTCATACATTTGTTTCTCCACGGTGGTGGACAGCATCCCTTGAAAGCATTCCTTTCTTGACTATATTCCCACTCCTCTCCTGCTCAGCAAGGGGGGTAACAAGACAGGACAGGACCAACCTCGGCGTAGCCAGCCTTAGCTGAGAGCCTTAGCTGAGAGCCATGACTTCTGAAAGCGCTCCCCATTCGCTTCCCACAGGACGTCTGCTCAGGGCATCAGTGACTGTTGGAAAACATTTATAGACAATTACATTAAAATATTCATCTCTTACATTTTGCTTAATACCAACTAATCTTGCATGTTTGACTTGGGTGTGCTAACTGTAAGAAATACTGTATTCCTTTGCAAATACATTGAATTAAAACCTGCTGGTGATGCAGATCAAAACTTCTAATATCTCTGTGCTCTGCCCTGTGAAACTGTAGGTGCAGGACTGATACATGAAGAATTAATATTTTATGATATTTGACCAGGACTGGATATCTGCATGCAAGGTTTAATTGACTGGGGAGCATTTATAGATCCGTATAGGTGGGAACACAGCAGGTTCAGCAAAGGGTGCATTGACCTCCTGCCATAGCTTTGCCCAAAACATCTCCTAAGAAATCAAAACTACAGTGTGTATGTGACAGGCTCTGTTATACATATGGGTACCCTAGAAATCTTTGTTTAATGAATTCACTGTAAAACACCCACATACATATATGCGTGTGTGTACATATAGGTCTACATACACACACCCCTAAAAGAAAAGAAATATTTTTGCCTTTGTAATATGAGTTGCTTGTTTATTCAGAATAGTATTTTCAGTATATGGCTTGTTAGATATTTACCCTAAACTAATTCCTTTTCTTTTAACCTCCATGAAATAATAATGAATAAAGGGCAGACTTTTGTAAAGATATTTTGATAACTTTCAGGACTGAAAATACAGCTTTTTGGAAATGAGGAATTAGGTAAGAACAGAGCAGGATTAAGAACGTTAACAAATAAGTTCTACTTGCAGAAAATGAATAGTGCTAAAAGCTAGGACAAATACAAAGGAGTAAAAGACCAAAATGTGTTTATACAAGAAAAGAAATCACAGGGTTAATGAGAAGTATTTCCATGGTTGCTAAGGGAAACAGAGGAAATAACTGATAGTTGTAGACTTAGCTGAGGTACCAACAGGATATTCTGTCCCTGCTAGAATTATATCTTGGATTCTTGGGCATGTAACTCAAGAGTGGCTTGTAATATATTGGAGGGGAAGACAATATATACTTACTTGCCTGTGAGGAAAGTTTTTGGATTTGTGTTTTTGTTTGTTTGAATAATTTTTGGAGGTGCTTTTTATATTGGTGCTTTTTATATATGGAGGTGAATTTTATATTCATGGAAATAGCCAGCGATTTTCAGGTTTTGATAAACAATGTTCCTACGTCTTTTTCCGGATCAGAACATCCTTTTAACTCTTCAGTATGTGTACAAAAAAATGGAACAAGTAAGAGTAGAAAAATCTAGATAATCATAGTACACGTGCTTCCCTTTGGAAAGGGCAGATGGTGAAAGAAATATGCAGAATGTGTGTATGTGATAACATTTTTATCTTCTTTAAGACTGTGGATGTGGTTGTTTTTAACTAGCAATGTTACCCCATCTGACACACTTTGAAAAGGATTTATGAGGCCTCTCATCTATACTGCATTTCTTGAATAATAGTAGATAGAGATTGTACTCCCAGTCTACTAATTTTATTCCATCATATGTTTTGAACACGTAAGTAGTCCTCCTCCGGAGTTGAACTACTTGGTTTTGGATAGGGAAATTTATTGCAAAGGATTTAAAAAGTCTCTCAGTCCCCTCTGACAGGCTACAGTATAATTTGCAGGGGAAAAAAAAAGAGCCTGGTGTCATAAAGTGCACGAACCACCATTTTTCATTCCTGATGTTTGCAATTAAATTAAGCATGCATTTGGCTTCACTGGTGATAGCAAAGACATTGTTTATAATTTTGAGCATCATTCTGACAATCTGGCATGCAAACATAGGTTATGGCTTATTAACCTAAATTTCGCACTCCAGACAAACTTAGCCATATGGAAAAAAGTTGCATGCGGAAGGCCCAAAAGCCTCCCAGAATTCTGCCTGAAATTTCAAAGTTTTTTTTTTCTTGCTTGATTTAAAACTCAACTTCTGATTTTTCTCCTCCAAAGAAAATTCCTATTGCTACTTGTTATCTAATGGATGAGGTTACCCTGGTCTGTTTTTCAGTTCAGATGGTGGTGTGATACATTAATCTGGACTGGTTAGATTGTAATTATTTTCTTTGACATTCTAAGATAAATTTATAGGACTGTTGGGTTACAGGCTTTGGTTTAAGTAGAAAGTACCACTGCTTCAGTGTCATGCCTATTAAGTCTATACTGAATAAATTTATTATATCATTTTGGTTGTAGCCACACATTTTAAAATAAATGAAAGGCAGAAAGTTTATAGGAAAGTTCAATTAAAGGAAAAGCAGAAAACATTTGCTTGGATTCTAGTACTCAGCAATAGTGCATAACTATACCTTAGAAGCACCTCATAAATCTGCTTTCAGGTAAAAATCTGTGTGGCTTTGTAATCTAATAGAGCAGTGCAAACTAAGTAAAACTGATTTCAATCACATGCAAGTAATCAAATAGCGCAGTATTTTTGCGTGTTACTCAATTCACTTTTGCCAAACACAGTGCATTGTCCTCTGCATTACAGGTGACAGAAAACAGCCTGCAAGCCTTTCACCAAGCCCATATAAGTATTTGTTACTGGCTAGGAGTTGTGTCTGTCTTCAGGCTTGTTTGGAGTTGTATGGTGAAGTGAGTTGGTGCTGTATGATAATGTCCATGTACTAAATGGACCTTATTAGACAGTATTGGTTTCCTGACTGTCTTACAGGTCAATTTTGGTTAAAGAATTCTTAACTCCTCCTACAATACATGTCAGGTAGCTGTCAACTCCCCTCGGTCTAGAGAGCATAAATTGACAGGACTGTAATTTTACCTTAGATCAGTCCTTGATGCTTTAGGGTTATTGTAGTCACCCAACATCACTACAGACCCCACGGAGAATGTCTCGAATGTGATGGTGTGGCACTAATTGTGCTACACAGTCCAGTGTTAACTTTCAGCAAAAATAATTTGAACTATGACTCTCAAATGTTGGAATGTTTCAGTCCAGGGAGCAAGAGTTCACAGCTCACACATAAATTGAGTACATTTTGTAGCAAAACCTGAATGTGAACTGCAGTTTTTGGAAGCAGTAGGTACAATCACAGACTGTACGGTGACCCCTTAACATGCCTGTCTATCAGAAATGCAGCATCTTTCTCCTCTGCAGAAAGGCAGAGGTCTGGTCTTGCTAAATCAAAATCTCCTTTGATTATGTTTCTCCTGAATCTTTAAATACTCTTGAAATAAGCTATTACTTTTGTAAAAAAAGTATATGTGTGTGTGTATATATATATATATATATATATAGGTTTACATATGAAATGGCTCCTGTGTTCACTATCATGGAGCAGATTCTTCTGAAGAAAATACATGAAATAATTGGATGGAGAGAATTTCAAGCAGATGGCATATTTTCTCCAGGGAGGTAGAGTAAGGTAATTAACCCTGTTTACAGGTTATGTCAGCCTGTGAAGTCTTCTGGCCCCACTGAGTTGAGAGACAGTTTGTACTTAGATCAGGGTCTAGAGGGGAAGTTTTCAATAAGGCAAAAGAGCTTGCAGTAAGATAAGTAATAAATTGTGCTTTCATTTTAATCTAGAAGCAAACACCAGTGGAACTGTTTTGAAGGTAGATAACTTTGGTTGCATTTTTTTAAAAATACTATTTATAATTTCAACACATAAATTGTGAAAATTGAAAAATACTGTAAAAATGTGGTAAAAATACTTTCTCGGTCTAAAAAAATCCCAGATAGAAACATCTCCAGACTTGGAGGTACTAGAATTAAATTTTTTTTCTGTTAGATACCAGAAATCAGCCTCAGTAAAAGAAAATAATAAACTTTTTAAAAGATAGTAACTGCAGTGACAATGACTTGGATGCAACTAATTCCTCCTCCTCGATGCTTTTGTGTTCTGCTAAAGCGTAGGACTTGATGGGTAAAGGAAAAGGGTCAAATGGGCCTAGAAGTACAACTGTATAAATGATTAAGGGAAAAAGAAGGATCCCTTCCTTCCCATGTCCCAAACTAAGTTTTCTAGCATTATCAAAACTGAGGAAGTACAGGATGGGCTAAAGAGCAGGGAGGGAATCCTCTGATCCGATGTCAGGTGACAGACTACACAAGCAGACAGTATGGGAAGTGTTTGGAGAGACAGTCTCTTGCCTCTCAGGGCATTCGTACATGGCTGGAAGAGCAATGATGGCTCACACTAACCAAGGATCCTGGTCCAAGATCTCCAAGAATGTAATGTGCAGATTCTGCAAAGGAATAAACTACTCAAACTCCTTCTGTCATTTCCGTGCCATTAGGTAGGACCATATCAAAACTCTGCAGTGTTTTGCTGGCTTACTACAAGTCTTTCCCTGAGGTTAAAACTGAAAGCACGGTTGGGTTGCACTTCCACATGTTGTGCTGTTTGTTTCCGAACGCCTAAGTATGTCACCACAGTAAGGCATCATAAACTGCCTGCCTGTGGCACGTCATCAGTGAGGAGTGCTGTAATGTCTGTGCCAAAGCACGCAGCCTGTGACTTCTGAAAATCCCAAATGTTTCATAGTGTGTGTGTGGAAAAATATTCTTAGTGATGCAGGAACCTCTGGTCGTAGATTTGAGTCTGCAGTGCTATGTGCTTCTGAGTCACTTGGATTGTGATGTTTAATATAAGGAACCACATCCTGCAAGTACTTGAACTTTAGATGATCGCTAAATCATACAATGGTCTGCATAAACACATAGTCTACAAATCACTGTTACCTGAAGGCAGACCGCCGAACTGAGCCTCTTTTCCTGCTTGCTACTGTAGGGAAGGGAAGGAGCAATAATATCTTACTGAGCTGTATTAGCAAATTAGCCTCAAGGGCACACAGTGATTTATTTTTTTTTTCTCTTTTCTACCTAGTCATTGTAATTTTGACATTTTCAAAGAGTCGGGAAAAAAAGAAAAGGTTATTCAACAGCCAAAACCAAGTATGTCTATTTTCTTTACAAATAATATCAAACAACCCTTCTGTTTGAATTAAATATTTCATTTCAATAAAAAAAGAACTGCTAATATTTGATTTAATTTTTTTTACAGTACAAAGACCTAAAGACATTTCAAAAGTAAAATCATTCTCAACTGAAAGAACTTAATACAGAATATGAATATCAGAATTAAGTGTATGGGTGCTTTTTTCAGGATTTTTTTTTTCCCTGCTGATAAAAAACAACTACCAAAACAGTCAGATGGTCATGAACTCTGTGGTATCACTAAGTTTCAGGAGTTTTTTGGTAATATTTGTACTTTTTAATTAAAAAAAAAAAAAATAGCCTTTGTTCTGATCGTTTAGCAAGAGAAACACTCGATTCTTTGTTAGAGAAGTGGGGAGTGCAGCTCACCTGTGCCAGGGGCAAAGATGGGTGAGTGAGTGTGTGACCAGGCTGCTCCTACTCATAGCTGTGTGGCACAAAGAAAGAGCTGGTAACGCACACCGATGGCATCTGGGTGACATTGCTCTGCCTTGCAGCCACTTTGGCTAAGCCACTGGGTGCTTGCCTTGGCTCGCTGCTGCAAGTAACTTTGAAAGAGCTGCAATGTGCACTGGAAAGCTTTCTGGGGTTTGATGCCGAGCCAAGGAAGTTGGGTGGATTGTGTGGCAATTTGAATGGGCTTGGCACAGAACTGTTTGGGTCTGACCTTCACGAGAGGATGGGGAGTGGAGGGATTGGTGAAAGCAACACCCTCTGGGTGTGTAAAAGCTGACACTAGGGTCTCAACAGCATCAGCAAAAGTAAGCATTTCTTCCCCAAGTGTGAGAACTTGCCTGGCAGGACCAGGGTGCCTCAAGGCCTGCTGGATGGCCAAGCTCTGCTCCCTGCTGCTTCCCTGCCTCAGGGACTCTCCTCGGATGCCCTGCGGTGGCAATGGAGGCGGGATGGACGTGCCACTCCGTGCTGTGGCTGCACGCCTGTCACTTCACTCAACTCCTGCTTAGGTTTTGGCTAACGTAGCTTATACTAAGGCCTGATGTATGCTGGAAGCAGTGCCATTAGGTCAAAGTGCGAAAAACACGTAGGTAGGACAGGTTACCCAGGAGAGCTAAAGGGCCTTTATGCAGCCATTATCCTCTGCAAATTGCTGTCCATCGTCTTTGTCTAGCAGTTTCATTAGAATCTGCTGACTTATGGAAATGGTACAGGCCAAACCTCCAAGTTGGAAGGTTAAATCATCAGCTTACCCAAAAAGCTTTTTGAAGTAGATCCCACAGCATCTGGACTGCTGAGGCTTTCATGATTCCTGGTGTCATATGGGGTGTGCCCAAACCATTATGGAGGAGGAAGGATGAGCACTCTCACTGTCAGCCAGGTAACTCCCTGCTCCT